TGACATGTTGAGCCATGGATCACCCCTACCTCCCCAGCGGTGCGTGGCGGTAACGTAACGTTCGCGTTACTACGGTAATAGGCGAGTTCCCGCCCCGCCACTCCCCTCCGCGGTGACGTCACGCGGTGACGTCAGGCGGTGACGCGGAACTGCTTCCTACTGTGATGTGGCGCGTAACAGGCACCACGGCGGATATATAAGGAACTGCACAGCAGCTAGGAGTCAGTTCTAATGTGGCTACCAGCGAGTTCTACTGTAGCAGTCGGCGACTTCAGTTGTACAGCCGCCGAGTTATAACGTGGCCATCGCCGAAGATAGTTCCGAGCAAGCTTACGAGAGCGTGTTATCAACAGTTCTCCAGTCAGCGGACTATAGTTGGAGTATAGCAGCCGTCGCGGTAAGAAGATCCGGACGTGTGTGCGATTGTGTAATTGGGAGCGTGTGAGACAGTGATACATAGCTCCCCTACTGTAAACGTGTAGACCACTGAAGACAGAGTGAACTGATTTGCGCATAGGGTTATAAATCGTGAAACCCCGCAACAGTGTCGACAGATTAATGCGATTAGGGTTATAAAGTGTGAAACCCCGCAACTGTAAGATAAGTAATTGTAGCCGTTATTTGTAGATTGTTAAATAAACCCAATTAACCATCTCCACGGCGTCTTCAGTAACGAAACACGTTACAATATTGTTCGTTCACTTCTTCCGCGCTCGGGTTCTAGCTGTCATGATCCCACGGCGGCTTCGTTGCCAAGAACTTCAAGCTCCTAGGCAGCCTCCAGCTTAAAGCACTGCTGATGGAATCGACGAGTGCCATTTTGCCTCTCCCACACCCTACTCGATCTTCGTCTTCCTTTCTGTCGCTTATCCTTTGCATCTCACTTTCGAAACCGTCACAACGGCCATGGAAAATCTTCCTGGCGCTAATTTGGGCCCTCGCATTTCCTCGACCATCCTTCTTCATGGCTATCAACCTGCCTTGGTCTCTTTCTGGGCGTTCAGTCTCTCCATAACCCAATTTAAGCAGAGTTGCCACGTAGGATCCAGATCTGCTCCCGACAGTAACAATCCAAAATCCTCAGTCCACAAACCAGTAATAGAATAATACCTTTACTAACACCAGTGTTATGTAACAATGAAGAACCAACAGATTATTGGCTGTATTTGAATTTGACACTGGTTACTCTTACCTGCTGCTGTTTATATAATCTATAACCACAATCGTTCGGCAGTCCGTTAGATCGTTCTTGCTTGGATCCTCTGTGCTGTCTGTTTTCACAGAACTCGTTGCTAGGTTGCACGTTCAGATAACGATGGATGCTTCTTCTATATAACATGCTCGCGGACAGTGGAGGCAGCGAAGTCTCCAAGCATTCGTCGACTGTACTGGGCGTGCCCGTTACCACGGATACGTATACCAACGTGACGTTACGTAATAATTAACGTCTCCTTGACTCTGCCGTGATTCCATGATTCCGAACTTTCCGCATTTCACATTCGTTACGTCATAATATTTTTTCATTTGGCTTTCATTTCCTTTAGAACTCAAGTAATCCCCTGCTCTTAGTTTTGCGTGTTACTTTTCTGACAATTACACATCTGGGTCTGATAAAATATCTAGGCCCATTATTTTTGTTTTCTTTGTTCCATCTAATTCATATCCTCTGCTATTCTCCGCCTCGTGCTCAATTGGTCCTTCCTTCTTTCCTCTTTCAATCGAATTTTTTCTTTTAATTTGCCTGCTTTTCCGCCACCTATTATTTCCACTTTTTTGTGTCTTATTTTCCTCCTTCTTTCTATTTACTCCTTCCTTTTCCAATTTTGTGTTCCATTTTGAAAAGAAATATATTTGAAAGACATGCGTACCTTAATGTGTAATAACAAATGGATTTTTCAAGCTATTTCAGATGTAGTAACAACCTTAGTATGAATTGAACTCCTTGTAGGCATTTAGATTCATTTGATTGTACTAATTTTGTTTCGCGGCGATTGGATCTAGCGTATGCTATTTGAAATCCACATGCTATTTTAATTTCTGTTACAGTCCATTGCATTTGCATGCCTCTGGGACAATTATTTACAAAACCTGACTGTTCCATATTTCCCCCAAACGCGCCAATACGCATACAGAATAAACACCATTACTAGATACTTCCGCTGATGTGTGAAATTAGAAATGATTCTGTGATGCAACTTTCATCTAAAATGAGGTATAGTTGCCCTGTCTCTGCTACCATATTCCCTTTTATTTATAAAAGTCGATATCATTGCGTGCACGATATAATTACACATATCACGTAATCGCTGCTCTAATGAGACACAATTAGGGAACTGTGTGCAAATTATACGTATTTATTAAAGGTAATTCTTAATGAATGGATCTTCGTCAGTGCTACCCTACATATACTTCACATTTTGCGGATTCAAAATGTAAAGCAAAAATTATAGTTTTGTATATAATTTGCACATAGTGCATCAAAGTAACACATACTTTTTAGGTTATATACTTGTCTTTTTCGTGGCGATTCATCACTGTGTTACTGAATGGACTGCGTAAAAATGAACTGCCGGTGCGCACATAAATACACGATCGATGAATCGAATTTTCGGATAGTACCTCTAAAACATGAATCATACGAGAATTTTGCTATACGCTTATATAATATCTTCGCTTCTTACTCACAAATGGCCCAGGCTACATGGTGATCTCCAATCACAGCACCCAGAGTCACTAAATAGCTCTTGTCACTTCAAATTTGGAATGTCAAAGAGTTAGTTCTAAAGGGTTCTCTCGATGATGTATAGCACTAAGAATTATATGGTTTTTGGATTTTTCATCGTCCGATATTCTAAATATTACAAAACACGACGTTTCGGAAACTGGATCTGTTTCTGTCCTCAGGTGAGGGGCGAAGACACCTAATCAGTTGGAGCCCTTGGAAATCACTGGACAGCCGGTCAGATTTCCACAAATATTTATTCACTTGAAACCAAGTTAATTTGGCGGGGTATAATAATTCTTATTGCTTCATTTCTTGTTATATCCCGCCGAATTAGCTCGGTCTCAGGTGATTAAAAAGCTGTGTGAATCTGAGAGGGGCTGTCCAGTGATCGAGATTAGCTCTTTCTAAGGGACTCAACTGAAAAGGTGTCTTCCGCCTTCACCTGAGGACGGGAAAAATCCAGTTTCCGAAACGTCGTGTCTTCTAATCTCCAGAATACCCGACAATACAGAAGACCAAAAACTCAGCAATTCGAAAGATTTGTGTCCGAACTTCAGAAGGAAAACCAAATATACTAAAATATTATTTTTTATTGGTTTCCCCAGGAAAAAATCTGGTGCTTAATGCTACAAACCGGAAGGTCGCGAGTTCGCATTTCAATGAGATATTTGGATTTTTTCAATTTACCTAATCCTTCAAGCCGCACTATAAACCTGGGGTCGACTCAACCTCTAACAGAAATGAGTACCAGGAATATCCTTGGAATATTCTTGGGGGTAAAGGGCCGCCGGTGAGTAGGGCTGACAACCTTGCCGCCATCTATGAGCCGATTGTCTAGAAAATGTGGGAACCTTAACATCTCACAACCATATGGGCCTCCAAGGACGGTTACAGAGATACCTGTACTTTTTATTATTATCAGCATGGTTATCACGAACATCTCTGGTATTAGGCAATGTGTTCTTCTCCCGTTTAATGGAATTTTTTCAGTGGCTGTCGTGAAATTATCTTCCTTCTAGACCTATATAGGGTAAACGCCTTACAGTAGCTTCCTTACACGTCCTTCTCTGATTCAAAATTCGCATTTTTGTTTTGCTATTAGCTATACAATATACGCTCTTCAAAGGAAATCTTTTATCAGCCAGAAGTGAAGGCAAAACTTTGAAATTTTTAGTATCCATTCTTTCAGAAGAAAGGAGGAAATTTTCGGTAAAGTAATGGAAAACGACTTTTACGAGACCTGGCTGTTTGTCGCTGTTCTAACCATCTGAGAACTTGCCCGTATTCCACATGAACTTTTCCTGTCATACAATTAGGTCAAGCTGAAGGAGTTAGAGGAAACAGATAATTGCTAGCAGGCTCTTCAATTGCTGTCTCATCCTGTGGTCGCGAAAACCGCCTCCAGTTCTTCTAATGAAGTTCCTGTCGTACAATGAAAATTTTAATCTGGTTTTGTCGTCTGACTTGTTCCCTTCACGACTGTGACATTTCGTTCTGCGTCCTCTTAATTAGGGAACCCGACCCGTTGAAACAGAAGTAATGTTCTTTTATTTAAGGCTCCTACTGTAAAGTTACATACTGAAAACCTTTGGCTGAAGTTACTGCACAGAATTCTATAAAATGCAATCAAACCAGCTCTTGATTTCCTTCTTTGAGTTTTCTTTAAATATACGTCACATACATAAAGAAAATTCACGTTATTTGTCACTCAAATTCCTAGCTACGAAAACAGTTTCTTGGTGGAAATATGCTCGTACGCGTATATTGACATTGTCAGAAACAGGCGTATTTCAGTGGCTAAATACAGATTTTTCTTTCTTTTTCCTCGTCACTACAGCCCCAGTGGGCCTAGGCCTACCTCCATGAACTCCGTCCACTTCGGTTTTTCTAGATCTTACACATTCGGTAGGACTCCTTGGGCGAGTGATCAGCTCGTCGCAAGGCCTCTACCTGTAGACAAACACAGAAAAACTCACACAAACATCCGTGCCTTGAGTGGGATTCGAACCCACGATCCCGGATTCCGAGCGAGCAAAGACAGTGCATGCCTTAGACCGCTCAGCTACCGTGACCGGCAAATACAGATTTACTTCCTTGAAATATAGATGCTTGGGCGTTAATTTAACTACTCACCTCCATCCGGTGACGAAATTAAGAATGTATGGAGACATACACCCACTCTCCCATAAGTCTTCATAGCATGGCACTCAATTAAGCACTTTCACCACAGTTCCGTTCAGAGAGATTCTACTGAACCTATAAATTGATCTCTTACCGTTTAATATGTGGACGTACGTGCTGGCGGGCTGGGCGTTGCTGGGTACACAGGAGTAGTTACCCGAATGTTCGGGTGAAGCGCTGTTTATGAGCAAGGTGCTGGTTTGGGAGGGGAGGTCCTTGGTCACGTTCACCCCACGGTCCCCGTCGTAGTTGATCATGCGGTTGTTGTGATACCAGAACACGTATACGGGAGGTTCTGTGCTGGACACCAGAGTGCACACCAGACGCAGCGTGCTACCCAGCTTCAGGTATTTTTCTGCCGGCCCGGAAATCTCCGCTCTGGCCTCTGCAACAATCAAAGCTTCGTTGTTTGTCCCTGTGTTTATTTAGCCACACTTGGAAACTCACTGTTTGCTGTAAACTTGGTGACTACATGCACGAAAATATGGTGTTTGGGAGATGTAGCTTATATGGGGCTTTCTGGTTTATTATACGGCGCAATCAAATACTCAGACGAGCCAATCACAGTGGCCGCGCTCGCTCAATTGCTCGAACGCTTGGATCGAGAGTTCGAATCCCACTCGGAGAATGGGTGTTTACAAATTTATTTTGTGTTCGTACTGTCCTGTGAACAGGTAGCGGCCTTGCGATGGGCTGATCCCCCACCTAAGGAGTCCTACCATCTGTGTAAAAATGATTACAAAACTAAAAAAGAAGCCAAGGCCCAACAAAGGGCTGTAGAGCCATTGATGATGAGTACTCAGACGACACAGAGTGCAATTGTAGGAATTCTGGGAAATAATGAATTGAGAAGGATGTAGAAGGAAGTGGTAGCGGTATAATCGAGATACTATTACCTGGTGTGACAGGAAAACCATGAGAAACCTCAGTCAGAATATCCTCTGCGTCTCGACATATTTTAGAATAGAGAATCTCCCCGAATACAATCCTAGAGTGTTACCGCTACAGCAACTTGTTGGGGAGAAAGAATGACTGAGAAATATATGCGTGTAAAACTTCAGAAGGCGTGAAGTTAAAGGTAAATATCCCTGTAACAGGCCACGGAGATTCATAAGGTTGAGAGATGTCGAGACTCTCACATTTCCTAGACAATCGGCTCATAGAGGGCGGTGATGTTTCAGTCTTTTGCGCCCGCCGCCCTTTAGACCCAGGAAGACTCCTGGTGTTCATTTCTCTTAGAGACTGAGTCAGCCCAGGGACATAGTGCGGCTGGAAGGACCAAGACAATTGAAAATTCCAGTGACTACATCAGGAAATGAACCCACGACCTTCCGGTTTGTAGCAAAGTGCTCAACCAACTACAGTACAGAGTGCTTCTCCTTCAGGAGTCGTAGACTCATGAATAACTAGCTCAATGGAACTGACTCCTGCTCTTGACGCTAATATTCTCTCAGACGGAGAAGTAATCTTCCGCCTTTATATAACGCAATTATTCTCAACCTGTACATAAGAGCCCGTCACTAAAACATATTTTGAGACAAATGAGTCCAGTCCATATTGTTACAGAGCCCCGTTTCTTAAAATCCATTGTGAAATAGACTTCCTCCAATATAGGGCTGTAAGTTGCCCAGATGGTTTAAAGTTTCCAAGTAAAATTTTACTTGTCATTTTCCTCACGTGCTCTGTATGTTTCATCCATCTGACGTTCATGTATTTAATTACGGTAATACACTTAAGATTACATATTGCAAATTTTTCTGAGTATATGCTTTTTTTCACATCCTTGCTCTTTAATTTCCGGGGTAGTCTTGAGGGCGTAAAATTTTTCGTGCTTATAGGCTGCTGGTGTGCTACGATTTCACATTATTTTACGAAAGAAACTTCCATGATGTATTTCGATCCAATGCAGTCATCATCATTATCATCATCATCATCATCATCATCATCATCTAGATACTGTCACGTGTCCGGGATTCCGTGACTAATAATAACGGGTTCTGGGTTGGAAAATTGTGTTTATTGGCACTTATTTACAATTACAACTGATTACTACTGCTCACAATCAATGACTGTCTTAAGATTTTCTCCGTACCTTCGTGGACTAAGAGTGCCTTTTCTTCTTATGTGACTGACTTTTTTTCTGATTTATGAATTGGTCACTTCTTCAGTTCCCTTTGTCCGTTAGATCACATTCCACAGCTGAACACTCAACTGAACTATTGAACTGTGAACTGCCTTCTGAATTCTCTTACGACTAAATGCCGGATCACGGCTCACGTGCGAGCGAACCGAATATAAGTCAACATGTCTTACAGTTCCTCTATTATTCTGTTGTACCCGTTACCGCGGGAACTTGCTTACCGAAATTTTGTTCAACAATTGACTATTCCACATCTATTCGTTGCAACGGGAACTTGCTTACGGAACCGTTGCTCAGCAATGGTAATATTCGTCACAATACTCTTATGTAATTATTGTACTATATTGAATTTCCTGTTAGGAGCTCCAAATAGTAGTCAAAACTAGATAAAATATACTGTTGGTGTGCTACGTTGTCACTGAATTTAGTCTTCTTTCTAGATTTCAAATATTTTCCTCAGAGATTGTCTCTCAAACACTCCTAATCCAGACTATCCCCTTAAAGGTGTCGAAAATACTCTTCAGTCATGTGTTATGTTGAAATATAGTCGTCTACTTCAATACTTTTAGATCTTACTTATGTATTACGAGTACCAATCGAAACTTCGTGAACTCCTGAATGGTGTTACCCGGTATGTACAGTGATTTTTCAAAGTTCCTAAACCCACAAATTCATCCCATCTGGAACATCGGACTCTTGTTCCTCCTCTGGTTATTACCCGGGATACCAACCCTAATGCGAGTTAGGAGTTTTCTATAAATTTATACCATCTGCTGTTCATTCTAGATTACACTGTCGTTTACAAACTTCTTCACTAGGCTTAGGAAGAAAATTTATCTTGCAGCCGAGACCACATCTTCTCGCCCTAAGATTTTATAGCAATTACCTAGAAAATAGTTATGTGCGTAGTATTAAGCATTTTGTCAAACAGTAGGTTCTCAAGCTCGTTTCCTTCAGTAGAAACGTGTCATTTAGCTAATAAAATATTCTAAAGGGTTCTGACGATAGTGGATGACACACAGAATTATTGGGGTTTCGCACTTTTCCAATCGTCCGGAATTTTAGGGAATAGAGGACACGACGTTTCGGAAACTGTATCTGTTTCCGTCTTCAGGTGAGAAAGGAAGACACCTACTCAGCTGGGCCCCTTAGAAAGAACTAAGAGACAGTCCACTGATTTAGACTAGCTCTTTCTAAGGGGCCCAACTAAGTAGGTATCTTCCTTTCTCACCTGAAGACGGAAACAGATCCAGTTTCCGAAACTTCGTGTCCTATATTACGTAAAATTCCGGACAATGGATAAAGTCCAAAACTCCAGTAAATCTGTGTAATAAAATATCGTTGTATTTCTGAGTTCCCTTGTTATTCTTTCCCCTTGAATCTTTCTTTCTGTTTTTGTTTCAAGTTAGGGCTTATTCAGTTCCTCGTCATCACTTTCAACAACATTTCCCACTCTCATCAAAATTAGTGCGAAACGATTACATGGCCTGCTTATTATTAAACAAATATCTCTGTCGATTCACGATTATTACAGAGTTTTCAATTTTTCGTAGTTTTGATCAGCCTTCTGCAAATACTACACTGGTAGGTAATTTATAATGGACAACAATCATTCCTCTTTCTGCCTTTCCACCTCATCAGTTAGTTTCATATTCTCACCAAGTAACCGTCGACAAATGGATATTAAAATAATTAAGAATTGGTTTGGAATTTTCCAGGATGAGACATCTAAGTGAGATACACCATCTTCCTCTGATGTTTTTAAAAATTCGCTATTCATGCGAATAATTTAAGTCCCAATTGATGCTGTCTAATATTTGCAGTTGACGGTACTTCTATGGTAATGATAATACTGTTTCTTTCTGAAAGAAGTTAAAAGAAATGTGGTGTATATGAAAACTTGCGTTCCTTAGAGTTTCTGCTTTTTTGGCTTGTCTTCCCGCAGTATATCACCGCTCCATTTCCGCTTTGTTCCGCAAAGTGTTGACGTCTTCGGTGAGCAGTACAGAACTGAGGCCAGCTCACATAATAGGAGAAAGAAAATCGTTCCCTTTCTTTCTTCCAAGCCCCCGTACGTCTTCATAGAACTTTGTCTAGGTGCAGGATCGATCATGGTTTTACTTGTTATTTTCTGAGACAGATATTTGCTGCGGTATCCCTGGCTTTTCAGCTTAGGAAACTTCGCCTTTAATGTAGCGATGAGCATTAGAATATCTACTTACAGAATTAGGCCTCGTGTGTTTGGCGGAAGGATCACTTGAGGGGAGGAAACATTTTTCTAAAAGAGTTTGCTTATTTAGAATGCAGCATCAAGTCGAAATTCTGCATAAAGTTAGAAGAGAAAGTTCTATATTTTCCTTTACTACTTTCTGGTCAGAAATTCTGCGATCAGGAAATTTCTAAGTTAAAAAATCGTAGAGACAACACGATAAGGCTAGCAATTTTTTTTGTCTACACGTGTCAAAATATGTGCAAAAATAAGCTGGCATTTCTTATTTACTTTAAAATTTTCGGTAATCTAAGCGAAGTATTTACGATTTCCTTACCTTCATTTCCTTACTGTTGGACACCAATGTGCCGGGCTCGATCGAGTGTTGTCTGCATCAGTTATTAAAAGAAATGGCGCTACTATACATTCTTTGCACAACGCAAAAGACAAACTCGTGCTAGGTATGTCATGCCAATTCCGTTCTTATGTCTCTCCTTCGTTTCATCTTCAAAATTACAAGATGAATTTAGACTATATTCTTTGTGGGTTTGTACAAAACTTTACGGATAATAGCCATGTCCATTGCCCGTCTTCACTAGTAGTCTCCTGGCAACGGATCTCAAAACAGAAACTAGCACTTCAAATCACCAGGAGGCATTCTTGCCGTTTCTTGTTCAATCGCCCTGGAACGTCGGAACTCAACCAAAGACTCTCTTGGACCACTCGCTAATCTACACTACAAGAGGTCTTCGTTATATAGGTTCTACACGGAGAACACAAGAAACACAGGCATCTGGTATGGATTGGATTGATCTAGCTCAGGATAGGGACCGGTGGAGGGCTCTTGTGAACAGCATAATGAACCTTAGTGTTCCATAAAATGCTTGGAAATTCTTGAGTAGCCGCAGAATTTGCGGATCCTCCAGAAGGGCTCATTTCCATGGGTTAGTAAATAAGTAAGGCCGCGCCATTGCTCAAGCGATTAGTCACTGGATTCCCACCGCGGGCGCCCGGGTTCGATCCCGGGTCTTGTCAAATGGGATTTGTAGTGGAGAATGTGGCGCTGGGGCGGGTTTTCCCCGAGTACTTCGGTTTCCTATGTCAATCTTCATTTCACCAAATTCTCCATCATCATAATCACTCGGGGCAGGCTACAAGAGGCCAATCAGTGGCCGCCGTGCCGAGTGGACCCAACTGGACTCCACCCCCCACTAAGAGAATAAAAAAAGTAAGTATTATTGAGGACTGAATTCAATTGGATTGAATTATTATTATTCTTTCTAATTATTTATACTTTGCATTTCCCAATTCTAAATAAGAAAGTTAGATTTGTGTTAATGACGGTATTATTATTATTGTTTTATTTTTTCTTTGTTTTTTGTTTCTTTGTAATAATGTGTGTTTTCCTCCAGTGCTTGTCTGTAATTTGTCTTTGACTTTATGTAGTCTGTGTTCATAATGTAATTACTTGTATCTACGCTGTGCTGTGTCTGCTGTTGGCCTTGTAGCTGTTGACTTGGCACATAAATAATAAGTAACTGAAGCATTATTATTATTGTTATTATTATTGTTATTATTATCTTCACCATCTTTGCCTCTTTTGGAGTGTTAGAAGATGTTCGGAGGTATGCATACTCACCAACCACCTTAAGTTCGATGAAAATGCTGGTAGGTGGATGCGACGATACCTGGCACTCGTAGAGGCCGGCGTCCCTCTGCTGAACGAACTTGATCTGTAACGTCCAGTCCTGCAACACAATCATTTGCCATCCCGTTGTAAAAGCGGAGAAGTTCCGAAAGTCATTGGATAAATACAGATATCTGATTTCAGGATCTGAGGATGTCATTCATGTTAACCACATTTCCTCCCTTAAGGAAGGGAAGTATGCGTATGATTTCACTGCGCTGTCTCTGCATGCGTGGGTCCACCCCTCGCACCACTCGCACCCCTTTTTCGATATTTAAACGCTTACGCGATATTTATACTAAATCTGGTGTAAATTTTATGCATTTGAAGGCGACAACAATATCATATTTTTTAATTACCTACAGTCATTAACAACAATATGGCAGATGTGAGAACGTGTGAGATGAAAGCAAAAGTAACGACGCATAACTCAGAAGCTTCAAATGGCTTGTGCCAATAGATATTTAAAAATGTGTAACTTTCATTAGGAGCTTATTCTTTGAATTATGTTACATCGATGTGATGTCTACTAAAGTTTTCTTACGCTTCACGTTTAATGGCGATGAATATCAACGATAAATATCTATACGTATTCTGTTCGATGAAGTGTTTCTATAGGAAATATTACACGACTGGCGACGGTGGGAAATATTAAGGGTTAATCCGACAAATTTAACATAGACATAACGTGTTTTAAAAATAAGATATTCATAAATATAAAATGAAGTAACATTATCAGCATTAATAATTTGCAGGAATAAAACACATTTAATAGAATATTAGACTCTATGATTTCTGCTTTGATATGATATGTTATGTAGTACGAATTCGTTCATTGTCTACTGAATGACAATCTTTTGCTTAATTGTAAATATTTCACTGTGTTTATTGTTATACGAAGCTGTTATTTCACTACCTTTGAGTAAAAGGATGCTGTATTTATTTTGTATGAAAGTTTCAGAATCACGATCCACGAAGTAAACCAGCTTGTAACAAAAGTGGAAACGAATCCAATTTAAGACAAAAGCCTGTGATGTATTAGTAAGATGCAAAGGTTTTGCAGAGGCGACGAAGCATTCCCAAAAGTTCAAGATGGCGCTGTAGTTATATTTTCCACCAATAATTGCTGGCGGATTAAGAGATTCTAGAAAGTGCGACTTGAGAACCTACTGCTATGAATGTATACAGATTTCGTTAGTATGGACGGGCGTATTCAGCTTCCAGACATCTTTTGTCAAGAGACAATGTTTTCGAAAATGACTGTAGACAATTATGCAAGAAAGTTATTTGAATATGAAGGGATGAAAGATATGAGAGAGAAAGGATTGAAACAACAGTGGGAGAAATTATCTAAACGCAATTTTAAGAATAAGAACGGGCCTACTTTCGAAAGTTATTGTCAAGTAATCAATAAAACCTAGTCCTTGTCGAATTATTTATGAAGGCATGAGGAAGAGATTCTATAGAGTTTAGTTTCATAAGAGTAAACATTGAAGTTAATGAAAACAATCTCGGTTATAGTAAAATAAATGCGTAAAATATAATGATCATCCAAAGACAAATTTACTAAATTAAGATCCACATTAAATGATAAAATCTGAATTAAAGCTATTGTAATTAATTAAATATTCTCTTTTACTATTAATATCTATTTTAATATATTTGAATCATTTGAACATATAAATACAAACCAAGCGACCTTTTGGTCCCTACTTAAATTAAATGAGCTTGCATAAATTACGTCGAAATTTCTCTCCTTATCACCACAGTTTAGGTAATTGGCTCTATTCACCAACTCAGAATTAAATTTCAGAAATATTCTGTGCCTGCTCATACGTTCCGTCATGTAGTAAAATTCAACTAACGCCATAAGTGTTCTGGCACCTGCTTTCCTCCATTGAAGCTACTCGATCTCCCAGTCTCTAGCTGTATGCAGCAGTATTTATCTCCTCAGGGAAACATAACGGCCCGAAAATTTGTGGCAGAATAGCTTCTGTCGAGTTTTCCCTCAGTACCTGCAAGAAAATTGTGGGATATGGCCATAAAGCAGTCCGCAAAACCCTTCGTTCATATCACTTGAAGTTCACGATTTCTTGCAAGACGAACGGATAAGTGACGGATAAGTGTACCGGTAACTCTGTATATCTGTTTTGCGGAGTTACTGTAGAGGAGCATGGCTATCTAGGAAAGTTTTCTTCAGTTTCCATACAGATTACAAGATACCATCCCAATCAGGCCAGGGCCGCTTTCTTTCAAATCCTTTCCAATTCATCTATCACCCCATCATTCGATGCTATCTGTAAAACCTGCGACACTGACGGCGTCGTAATGAAACCCACTAAAACAAACCCTACAAAACCATCCCGATGACCAGCATCATGTATGTATGTATGTATGTATGTATGTATGTATGTATGAATAAATGTATAAAGGGTGGGCCTTCTCGGCCATTGCACCGCGACCTACAGTGGTCTAATCTGCTTATCCTTTTCATCATCCCCTCAGCAATCCTGCGCTTCATTCGAAGCGCAGGATTTTATAAGTGGGGGCGTCGAAATAGTCACTTGGTTCCATAAAGTATTGGCCCCAGTGGACATCATGTAACCATACAGCTGAAGAAGCAGTGTTATGTAATGAAACATTTTGATATTATCGATTTATACCGCAGGCTTCTCAAGAAGGACTCAGCTCCAAAGAGATAGTTGCTTAGATTATTTTATTTCGCTTGTTTCATTATGTTTTTCCTTTTCGGTTAATAAATTATATATCCAGTTAAGAACTTCGTTTTCTTAAATTATCCGTCATCTGTCATTTAGTTTCTACTAACCATTTATCGAAAAATATTTTACAATGTTAGAATGGCATTCTGTAAGGTATGTTTTGTTATATTTCTTAAGTACAAGGCATTTTTATGAATACTTTTGGCTTTAATCACTTGGAACATTCAATGATATTTATGCTCGCCTTTTGTGATAGAGGCATGCTGTGGGAAAGGGCTGTTTCTACGGTCGATGGATCTTATGGAGAGCTAATCGTGCTCAATGGCGTCGGGGAAGGGGGAGGAGGCGTCTTTAATATCCGGTTGCAAATATTTCAACCTCGTGACCTGTTTCTTCTACCATCTGGCACATGGAGGAAATGCAGCCGTACTGACTACATTCGAGTATAACCTACGAACAACCAAACTCACATAAATATGACATTCTTGACATGTGTTCATGTAGAGGATTGAGATGGGTAAGGATTTGATGTATCTTTCGTAATGGGATACGATAAGTTCAACGTAAACATAAGAAGGTTATAGAATTCCGTGTGGTGGCTATCTAGGTTGTGAAACTTGTAATATGTAGGCTGTTACCGACGTTTCGGAGAAACATGCTATATCAATCTAATGTCAAATTAAAAATGTTCCGAAGAAAAACAATCAGCAAAACGTCTAGTTCTAGGAGAAAGGCTTTGAAATGAGTTTCAAGGTTACAGTAGAACAGGGCACCTCTTTACAGAACTATAAGGCTTATTTTGGACTTTATCCATAGCCTGGTATATATAAGATAAAAAACCACAACGTTTCGGAGACTGGATCTGTCTCCGTCCTCAGGTGGATGTGGCAGGATAGACCTACTCAGTCCAAAATAAACCTTATAGTTCTGTACAGCATACACCATCGTCAGAAACCTTTCAAGTCTATTAGGGTACTTCTTATTTAAATATAGGTTTTGAAATATTCTCTTTTATGGGATACAACGTAGTGCGGTCCGTTGAAAATGACTCTAAATTTCGCCTCCACCTTCCGTCTACGATTTGAATGTGACACACAACAACCTAGCAGATAAAGTTATTTTATATTAAATAAGATGTAAAATATTATGATGATGGTGTAGTAGTACAAGTACGAGCACTGTGTTTCTAGATATATCTGTCGTCCTGCTTCCATCTAAAACACCGTCCTCTTTAAACGTATTTCAAAACACAATGTCTCGGAGACTGGATTATGTCTCCGTCTTCAGTTTGGTTAAAGTTGGAAAGAAGTAATGGACNTTTAACATAAGGGACACCCTCCCGAAGTTTGGCACATTCCTCCTGGGACACCCTGTATATATATATATGTGTGTGTGTGTGTGTGTTTCTGCACACATTTGGAACGTAACTCGCCAAAGATTCATTAGAGCGAAAAGCGATCAGAACAGCGATTTTGAACGTAAAGAATTGCAAACTGAATATTAAATAAAAAGTTCCCAGCAAGTCAAAGTGTTTCCTAGATAATGAACAAGAGGGATGTTATGCGCTCTTCTCCGAACTTGGATCTTCTACAATGAAACATGACCACATGAATCCAGACAAATATTGTGAGACAGACTATAAAAGATGGCGTTGGTGTGAAGTTGTAATGAGGTTATATTAGATTTCACTTTTAAATCATTTCGAGGAAACTAAACTAATGGCCTGTATAACTGCAAGAGCAAAGAACTGGCTGAACTTGAAATATTTAACCAGCTCCTGGTTACTCTACAGGAGCAAAACATTGACTGTGCTAGCTAGCAATGCAGAAAGAAATGCAGCTGAATCGCCAAAAATTAACCAATCCAGAGGCTGTTAAACATTCCAGTCAGGTTGCCAAGGTGAGGCAGATGCAAGCGCCGAACTGACAGGAGGAACGGCTGTAGACAGCGGCACCCATGAATTCAAAACTCTTATGTCTAGCAAAAGGCCTGACCGTCAGAGCTTGTGTACTGTCAAGGAAAACAGATACATATCCAGTGCTGCTAGATAGAGATGGATAAGCGCTGCTTGCCATATTAGTTGAACATTGCTAAGTAGGAACAGTTTAAAGTAGTGAGGAAGATAGAAAATAAGAATGAAGTTACTTCCAGTAGGAATGTGGAATTGATGAAGGCCAAGAATAAGGGACAATAATAAATCATTTGAACTATATAAGAATAATGAGAATTAATCTTTAACGTGGAGCACAGGCGAAATTATAAATATGTAATTAAATGTAGTTTAAGTGAGCATCCTGTCTCGAAATTACATATCTTCACTCCCAACCCCACTAGTCTCTAA